TTCAAAGAAACTTCCACAGGCTACTGTACCACTTTTTATAAAACTTCTGGATACCTCCTGCGTCGGTTTTTTTTAAGTCGAACTTGGCAACGTTTCGCCAATCATCCGGTTGGCTTCGTCAGAGTTTCAGTTGGCATAACGTTAGCAAGTTCAACTCAACAAAAACCAACGCAGGGGATCCAGAAGTTTTTAAAAAATAACTTAACTCATGTTGCTATAATTGTTTTTTTATTTCTGCCTATATATTAAAAATGAAATTTTAATATGTTGTATGATTAACTAACACCGTAACAGAAAATTTAGGAGGACTATCAGGGCCCTGAATTAATCCAGTAACATCCAAAACAAATGATAGAAATAATAAATAATAATAAGCGTTCTAACAATTATCTCAAAAATTTCTGAGGAGGTTTCCGAAGATGCATTATTTTTTCTTTACACTTTGATCAATAGTGATTTACAACAAGCTGTAAGGAATAATATTCTCTAGGAAAGCTTAAGACTGAACCATAATAATACTATTCGCATAGATTATTTCAGATTTGGTTGTTGGGATTAGTGGTGAATAAGGGTTTGGTATTTTTCAAACATCTGTAATAACTGTTCATTTTAAAGATAATTTTCATAGAATAATAACAAATAGCTAGCTTGGTACACCGTTGCCAAAATATAAAGTTAAATGTAAAAGTTAACTGATAGATTTGTAACATTGTTTATTTTCAAATTTCTTTAGAAAGATAATAAACATTGTTATGCACAAGTTTTTTTTAACTCTATGCGTGGTAGACATTTAGAGACTAATGAAAATAACACATATACAGTAAATAAATATAATTGCTATTAATAAAAGAGATGAATTCAAACATTTTCATATAACTTACCTTCCACCAAGTGATAATTGCTGGCGGCCTGGAACCTTTACTCCTACAGGTGACGTTGTATTTCTTACCAGCACTAAATTCTGGATTATTTCCTAATAAAGTGACCTCGAGCGGTCTCAGGTACATATCGATCGCTACTCTGACCACCAGCGGCCGTTGGAGCTTGCTGTTGTTTACCTCACAGCTGTAGACAGCTAGTAGGTGCGATCTGCAAAAATAAATATTCAAATAAATATAACTGAATTTTAAATGTTTAAATGTTTTTAAAATTAATTTGTCATGTACTAAGGGAGTTGCCGAGTTGAAAGAATAAACCAGCTCATTCGTTTGATTTTATTAGCCGTCAAACAAATTTTTATTTCTTTTTCAGATTCAATAAGTGACGTAGAAATAATTGTCATTTCCCTAACTTTGCTGAGTTTTGCATTTTTACTGAGAGGAAAAAAAAGACTGTTTTATTGCAGGTTACTGCCTTTACATGAAATCTTACAAAGTCAATCCCCTACTATGGTGGGTTTATAAAACAAACACAGGTAAAGACACTAACTTTTATTTCTTTATTGAATGATTTGTTAAAATATTACAAAATCGATTTACTTAGTCAATACACTAAATATGTCAAAGAATTGCAATTATTGAAATTGTTTGGTTCACTATTGACAAGAATTTTATAAAATTGTTATATATAACAAATTAGAACTGAAATCTCTTTGATTTACAATATTTTTTTATGCAACATAAACATCTGGTGTGCTTAATAGTGCAAACCTAAAATAGTTTTAATTTCAATTATTTCAATGCGAGATTACAGTTGTAGCTTAACATCACCAGAAAGTGAGACCTCGTCTTTTGATGATTTTATGGCGCATCGCCCTTAATAATAAAGCTATCGTGTTGCTGCTACTTTTTCATGACATGAGACTTAGCACAAACCAAAACATCATGTTGTTGCATTTTTAGGCACCTCTTGTAATTCGGTAATGCGTTAATTTAGCGAAAAAGAATAAACTGATCTGGATAAATATATATATATATATATATATATATATATATATATATATATATATATATATATATATATATATATATATATATATATATATATATATATATATATATATATATATATATATATATATATATATATATATATATATATATATATATATATATATATATATATATATATATATATATATATATATATATATATATATATATATATATATATATATATATATATATATATATATATATATATATATATATATATATATATATATATATATATATATATATATATATATATATATATATATATATATATATATATATATATATATATATATATATATATATATATATATATTCTAATACTAACTAAAAGTCCTGGACGAAGTCACGGAACATGTAATCGTCCAGTCGAGACTCCTAGGTCTTTTATTAAACTCCTATCGCGCGGCAAATACACACGTTCGGTACAACTTAATTGCGAATACATAATTAAGCCTCATGTACGTGTGTTTATTACAGAAAGCCAACATTTTCGGGAGCTGCAGCGTTTCAATCAGAAAATGTTAACTTCGGCATAAAATCGATTAAGCAAACAATTATAAATTATGTTGTTCCAGGAGGGTAAATGCCGTCGCGCGGTCAGCATTATCCAGGCTGTCAGTAAGCTTTGACAGGTCGTATACGTGTATTGTTGGTAATGTGAAAAGTGGCCGGCCACAGTCAGACCCCACTTCTGAGGCTTACGGTGCCATTCATCACCGGTGTGCCGTTTTGTGGATTCGGGACTGCAGCGTGATTTAATACCCTCTGAACTCGCGTTGCTTGTTTGTTGGAATATACTTAGTTTTTTCGAGGGAAAAAATAACGCAGCGAATTTAATCGAACGAGCAATCAAAGTGAAGATACGTTACCTTGTGAGTTTGTCGATTTTGAGAACGGACTGCGATTTGGCACGCTCCGGGAAATATTGAGTTTCGTCTACTATTAGTTCACCATCTCTCCACCAGGAAACCTGAAACAGATAAGTATGTGAGAAACGGTAAACTGATTAGGTTTAGTGATTATATTATATGTACATAACAGCAATTACCATACAACACGTTTAGTTAAATCGACAATAGCACATTGCCTAGGAAAAGTCATTCTAACCTAAATTAAAAAACAAAAAATAACGCACGGGCCGTATTATGTTAACAATTTGGAAATAATCTTCTATACAATAGAAAGTTTTTTCTAATGAAAAATGTTCAAGATTACTTTGAAAATTTGTACGTCTGTATGTTATTTGGTAAATTATTAATTATTGCGAGGAGAACGGATAGCCAATTAAGATTTGCTTATATTTGTACGTAGGTTAGAACAACTTATAAAGGGTGTTTTTTTTTCGTTGTATAGAACTTTAAGTTAGAATTACTGTTCAAGATACCGACCGATTTAATAGCTGTCAAGTGATTTATTCTCAGGTTGGTTTGACTCACGCCTGAACAACGCTTGCAAATAGTGCCCAAATGGACCCAAAACGAGATTGCCGTTGTTCCCGATTTTCATAAGCGAATTTTGTTTAGCGATGAAGCGCACTTCTGCTTGAATGGCTACGTGAACAAACAAAACTGCCGCATTTGGAGTGAAGCTAATCCTCAAGTGTATGTCGAAACACCGTTACATCCAGAAAAACTGACTGCTTTATGGACTGGTGGAATCATTGCTCCGTACTTCTTCAAAAACGATGATGGCCAGAACGTTACAGTCAATGGTGATCGGTATGGAGCTATGATTACTAACTCTTTCATTCCTGAATTGAATAACCATGATGTCCAGGAGATGTGGTTTCAACAAGACGGCGCAACATGTCAAACAGCTCGTGCCACAATTGATTTATTGAAAGACACGTTTGGTGACCGCCTAATTTCACGTTTTGGACCTGTGAATTGGCCTCCAAGATCTTGTGATTTAACACCGCTAGACTACTTTCTGTGGGGCTATGTAAACTCATTGGTCTATGAGGATAAGCCACAAACGCTTGACCATTTGGAAGACAACATTCGCCATGTTATTGCCGATATATGGCCACAAATGTTGGAAAAAGTAATCGAATCCGCGCCAACCGTGGCGGTCATATGCCAGAAATCATATTTAAAATGTAATGCCACAAGATTATCTTTTGGATAAATAACATTCACGTCAATCGAATAATCCATCGTTGTTTTATTGCAACTTAAAGTTCTATACATCGAAATAAAAACCCCTTAGTATTTAAATTATGCATATCAAAATTTTTGTTGAAAATTTTCATAATTTATAAAAACAAATAAATTTCACACAGAAACAGATAGACAGACGGTACTGTCAAAATATTAATTTTTTTAACATGAACTTTTGCTTTTCCAGCAAGGGAAGTTATTCACATTTTCTTGCAATAAAAACATCTTTAGCGAGAGTTGACCAACCCCAGAAGCAGACACCATATCGTAGAAATCTCATTTTAGTTGCATCACAACATAACTTTGAGAGTTTGTTTTTGATATTAGGGGTTCACAGTGTGCTCGAGTTAAGGTTTTTATCAATATATAGGATAAGAAGTTTAATATTGTCGCTAAATGGGAGCTTTGCGTTCTTCAATTCAATTTTTAACTTTTGTACACTCTTTTGTACATGATGAAATAGCATAAACCTCGATTTAGATGGATTTCGGTAAAGAGAGCGATCACAGAAATAACTGCAAAATAATTCTCAAATACGATTTCTTTCTTGAAGTGGATCAGAGTTATCTAAAATTTAAGACAAAATATCATCCGGCAAATCTGAGCTCTAGAGCATTAGTGTCAAATAAATTATATAAAAAATATCGAACCCAGGATCGAACCCTGGAGTACTGAAATATTTAACATCTTAAGTCCATTTTTTTGAAGAGAAACGTTTCGGCGCCTGTTTTGCAGGATATCATCAAAATTAAAACGAAACAAATTATACACATATATGCCTACAAGGAATAAAACAAAATAATTACAATAAGCACAGTCAAAAACTCATTTAAGCTCTAAAAGGCTTGATTATTTTATATTTAAATTTATTTGCACAGTCCAACCTTTCATCGAAGTAGGCAAACGATTAGTTTTAAAGGTATGAATTATTTCTTAATTATTTATAGTGTTGGGACCGGTCAATTGAATAAGTGTCTTAATTGGCCGATCAAAAAGAAAACATCAGTAATTTTGTTTTATCGGCATTCAACGTTAGGTGGTTATTACTGGCAGTATGCTTGCATTCCAACAATGTTGGCATTGGAAGTACTACTAAATGCTTCAACATTGTTTCTATTTCAAGTAGTCAACGTGCAGAGATATTAAAATATCACAATACGAATTATCCTTAACAAATGCAATAAATAAAAGCGGACACAAAAGCCCACTGCTTTCTGAGATATAACTATTAGTTCCATCCCGAACGGTGAGTTCTATTATTTATTATATTATATTTATTTATATTTATTATTGCATAGTTAAATAATTTGTTGGATTATTCAGGGTATTGCAAAAAAGGATGATAAAAATTCAAAGGCTAATTTAATAATAAACTGTTTTTTCTATATGTGAAAAATGTCGAAATTTTGATTTAAACATAAAAATCATTTTTTCATAAATTTAAACAACGCACAAATATGCATGTATTTGCCAATTTTTAGTTTATTGACGGTGCTATAGCGGTCTATTTATATTAACATTTTATTAGTGAGGTGCAGAGATTAATAAAGAAAATTATTGTTCCAAATACAATAGGCTTATTGTAGGAAAATTGTGTGTAGAATTAAAAACAATATCGATAAAATGCTATTTAGTTTAATTATTTTAATTAGTGGATCAGAGGTTACAGTTTTAGCGTGTGTGCCTCTATCTCTATGATTATAGACCTCACAGGAGTCTCTGATTAGTTTCTGTAAATATGCTGTTAGCTTCTTCAGAGCACTTTTAGCACAATTAGGTTTGTTCCGTTGAACTAACAAAGACTGTATCCTAGAAATATATAATATGTAATATGTATTTAGAGGTATGTTCAAAAGAAATTGTTGAACTGTTTTTTGTTCTACTATCAAATCCCTGTAATTTATTCTAACTTTCCCAAATGTCCTGCAGTACATAATTAACGTGGGATCTACGAAAATTTTTTGATATAGTTTTTGCTTCATGACAATGCGAATCTAGAAAATTTTGTTTTTGTTATCTTTAGTTACTACTTTTTCTACTACTCCAAAATGTAACATGCTGTGAATTAAACGCACCAAATGTGTTTCAATATTACATTTATTACATAAATACATAGAGTTATTGAAGTGACTTTATATAATTGAACGATTGAATCTCTTTATAATGGTTGCAGTCTGGTATTCCGAAAAGGTACTCCATAGATTTGATACAAAATCCTTGTCGAAATAATGATAGCGATAATCCAAACAATATTCTTGGCCATGCTACTGGGTTACCAAATCTTGCAACCTCGCATTTAATGAATTAAAATACGAAAAAAACTGTCCCAGTTATTTTCTTTAGTAACATTAAAGAGTTCCGGTTTCATTTTTAGCACGGACATTGCTAATCTCAAATTCAAACTTCCAAAAAAAAATGTTTCAGTACTAGTGGTAACAAGATTGGTTCAATATATCAAACTATGAAAAAAAAAAAGATTAATCGACTTATTTTGCCCTGAGTTTTGTCCACTAACACTAAATTAGATTGCCGATTACTTTTAACAAAGTCATTGCTTATCTCATAAATTCAAACCCCAAAAAATACTTTCCTTTAGCATTCGTGTCAACAAGATTTCAGCAAATTGACAGTCTTATTCTCTGTATGCTTACACGACAAGAGGCTACCGATTAATTTTTTGTACAAACATCGCTATTTTCCGAAAATCAACGCCATTTGTCCGCCAAAATTGTAATCAATCCAAATTACACAAGAATGGTAACTCAACATTGATACTTACTTTTTTCAACAGCGCAAAATGTTCTTGCTTTCAACAAAATCACTAACTTACGAGAATTTACTATTTATAAAAAAGGATGCATGAGTCATTCCGCAGTCGTAGCGAGCATCTCGAGTTTAACCTTTAGTGGTCATAAATCAGCCATGAAAACCTGCAGGTTATGATTTTACATTGCATTGCATTCTTTACATAAAATTTTATGAAATTTCCATCAAAATACTTTTATTTGTTGTGTCTAAATACACAAATTTTCTCCCAAACTTTAACTTCAATGGGCATCTAAATAAGTATATCGGTGGCGACGTGGGCATGCGCAAAAGCTTATTGCAACGCTCTTAGATGGCCATGTTTTGCTGCCCGCCTCTGTTTTCACTTTCTTCTATGCTTCGCCCTTTAAAACATAGATGGCGCGGCAAGTATCGATATTAGAAAAAATGAACTAATTGATCTCCCTGACGCTTCTTCAATCATCCTCTTAGCTTCTTCGCAGCTTAACTTAAATTGGGTTTCATTCTACTCTGTACTTGCTTATATATTGTTTGATGGGGGTGCGGAGCAAAATGCATTCACATGGACATTGTGTTGGATGACTCATTCTCTCATTCTCATATTGGTGAAAAGTCAAGACCAAAGTCGTGGTTAAGATTGTTTAGTTGTTTAGAGATTAGAGAATAAGATTTGATGGCCGGCTCTGTTATGTTCTTTTATCCTAGTTGATATTTTTCGCCCAGTCTCTCCAATGTATTCTTTGCCGTATATGCATGGAATGCTGTAATCTCCTGGTGTCTCAATTGAAATTTTATTTTTGGTGGATCGGAGATGTCGGAGAACTTTTGATATGTGGTCAATAATAGTTTGAATGTAAGAGAAGACAACAGTGGCGAGTGTGATGTTGTTGCTTTCGGATTTATTTTCTTTGGGAGGTTGTGGTAAAACGTATTTTGGAATAGAACGCAACAACCAACGCACAAGGAAGCTAGCAGATTTGTAAATAATATTACAGTATCCTGTAGAACTTTGTTTGAAAAGATTTATTCAAATGTTATTTTTTTAAATACGTAATCAGAGAACGTTAAACTGTACTTGCTAGAAAGATTTCAACTAGCCAAAAGTCATGATTCTTGCGAGAGCTAAGTGTTGAACAAGGTCCACAAAAGTGCATTCGATTTGTACTCTATTTTTATTCTTGTAATTTAATGTGCATGCCTCTAAATTTCACTTACTAACCTGCACTTCGCGTCATTTTCTTTCTGAACACCGATATCCACACACATACATATGGACATATTTTCAGAAAATTCTGGCGTAAAATTGCTGCATCCAAACTTATTGACGATGTCGGCGGTCATGTTGGTTGTTTAATGCCGCAAGGTCATTGGTTAAAAACAAGACTTTTAAATAAATTGTTGAATATATCTTTTCCATAGTTACTTCATAAGTTGCCGTATTATTAGCATTAGACAGGGCCCCGATGTCTCTAGTAGCCCATATGGTTACAATTGTAGATTGAGAAACTAGCAATGTCAAAACAATACACATAAACGTTATTGTTAGTTAATTTTGTACCCTGACTATGTAGGTACCGTGTGCCAGATTTATTTATCGAAATTAACATAAAATATTTGATAGCCATCACGACTGTCAATCTGAAAGTGAGATGCCAGGTTGGCCCAGACAAGATTAAGAAAAAATAGCCTTTCTTATTTTATTTGGACAGAACACAATATCAATTCAGCATCAGGATGAGGTCCAGTTACACTAGTTTGTGTATTGAAACAATTCGCAGATTTAATATATTATTTTAGTATGGGTTTCCGTGACATATAACAGAGCTGTCGCCTATAGCGAAGCCAAAACTCCTTTATAATATAATATTATACCATGATTTATTTAAGATTTAATTGAAACCGTTATTGCCCATGCGCATAACCCCAAATAAACTTACTAGTGTTTATTCGTATGTTTAACGAACTGCTCGGTATCACTCCACTTTACACGTCCGTTGATAGGAGTAATTTTTTTGAAATCCAGCGTAAAACATTTAAAAATATAAAAATGATGATATAGAGCACGGTTGCGACTTACCCTAGCCAAAGGTCGACCCGCAGTTGCCGTACAAGTGAGTGTGATACTTGCGCCTTCTGCATACGAGGAAGTAATGCCATTTTTGATGAGACCAGCGCTGTCGCTGACTTGAACGCTCGTTGGCGGTACTGAAAAAAATATGGCCCATTTAACAGGATCAAAATTTAACAGAAAATGTTAATAGCAATGACTATTAAGGTAGTGAGATACTCAGTCGAATTAAATATATTAGTTTGTTTTCAGATAATATCCTATTAATTGATCTTGACAACTGATAATCATCTCTAATGTCGAAGTTACTTTTACGAAAAGGAACATAAAACAAAATTTTGGATTTATGTTTTCCGCTGCGATCTGAAGTTCTATTGCGCTCAACTCCCAAGTACTCACTCCTCCATCAGACTCAGTCCACGTACAGAGTCCGTTATTCTGTAAGGGGATAACTCATTCAGGTCTTCAAGTTTGAGAACTTTTGAGTACCTGATTCTTCCCACCGCCAAACAACTGCACCATGTATGCTCTACCATTTCCTAATCTTCCACGCACAACCAATATTCGTTATTACTGACGACACCGATCTTGTGCATATGGTATTTGAGACTGCAGATTCGATATACCTCCCTAAGAGAATTTTCTGATGTGATCTGCTCATTGTTAATAGGGTGTCGGCAGTGCGTTTCTTTCAAGTACATTCTATGACTGTCTTCAAATGAGCGAGTTTCCTCTACGATCCAGACTTTGATTGTATTCCTCGCCTATTGGGGTGATATAGTTCAACATCGTCGGTGGACCTATTGGTGAACTCTGCTCCTTTCCTCGCTAGGAGGACGCCTTTTTCGTTACCGTTCAGTATATTATGCCCTAAGATCCATATCTTGGAGGTGCATTAAGCTGTTTTTAACGCCTTAACGCCTAACTGCCCTAAAATATGTCAATTCTTTTCCGCACAAAGTGTGAAGGGAAACAATCCCTTCGCGCAGATCGCAAACACGTGCCCTTCCACATGGAACATCCTGCGGTATGTGGGAAGGCCAATCAGAGGTTCTTTGGTGCTCCTCATAAATTAAATTCCAACCCGCCTTCTTGAGTTTTGGAGCCGTCAGTGAACGATTCGTGTCCCGCTACCATGAATTCAGTTTTAAACTGAGCCCACTCCTCCCTGCTTAACAGGTTCACTTCATAGGGAAGGACTGTCATTGATGTGATATTCCCAGAGTCCGGTGGATTAATAACGTATCCAGGAAATGGAAAAACAAAGTAAAATTTTCTTTTAGTATTTCTGACGTTAAATTTTTAGGATGAATGTACCAGAAATGTAGAATTGGTTTGATTATTTTATGTAGAAAACACTACACTATTAGTAATTGCATTAAGGAAATGAGATAAATATCACATTACACATTACAAGAATAGTGCTTACTAGAATGCAGAAAAAGTGATCAGAAGATTTCTTCATCTCTGTTTCATAAATGTTTAAAATACTATATAACTTACTGACGAATTGCACCTGTGCCCCACCGCAAATAAATGAAGATTTGCAATGTGTAATATTCGATTCGTGACGCTTTGTGATTTACCTGGCACCTCAATTATTACTAGGATATAATCTATCGCAACCGTCTTTCGGCAAATAACATAGAGCTTATTGTAATTTCTCTTAAATTAACCCACCGGCATTGATGTTTTATCGTATACAATAAGTATTGCTGCTTAAGTCTAATTTTCTATTGCGGGGTGTTTATCACTAGTGAAGTGAAACAAACACGAAATGGGGCATAACACAAGAAAAGTTTTTTTTAGTTTGGTTATTGTGGTAACCAGCAAACGAGATTAATTTTAAATGACGAACCCAACAATTCAAAAGATGTCGAAATTTCGAATTTAAATAAGTGCAGAAAGCCTTTAACATTGCGCCGAGTTTTAAGTCTTTGTTTAAGTTCCACATAATTGAGTTCGCAGGCATTCCGAGAATATGAAAGGAAAATAGGACATTCGTTATTCAGGAGGATCGATCCTTAATCTCCCTGTCCGCGAGTACATTTAACGACCTTTATTTTTTAAACGAATTGTCATTATCGGTCGAAATTTCAATGAATGCTTCATAATTCAATTTAATGGCGGAAACCGTTGAAAGAATTTGAATTTATAATCCATAAATTTTTCGAAGATTTGGAATACTTTGTAAGAGGAAACGTGGCAGGGATTTTAAAGGAAAAAACAGAAGTATTCTGTTTCCCTTTTTGCCGGACTTTCTAATGCTTTTCCTACGTGATTTAATTATATTGCAAACGATAAATTTTAATTTTCTTTTGTATTTCCTACTGGATTTTGCGTTCTAATTATAAAATATTGCAAAAGTCTAATACAAAAGTTAGAAGTTATACGGTTCAAAAAATAATACTCCGCAACAAAAAGTATCTAGTAGTCGGTAAAATGGTACATAAAAACTAAAAAGATGCATGCATAATATTTGTAGACTTTATTGCAACATACAAAATTCTTAGTTAAGGTATTGAGAGAATAAACGAAATGCTTAAACCTCGGCTCATGTAAAATTTCGCGATCTTACAGAGAGTCAATTTACTAAGGAAAAATCTTTGAAAACGCTGTATATGTTCTTAAATATTAAAAATATATGAATAATTTAACTACAGAACAAGTATCTTTAGAGCGATAACCTGGTAGAAATTGGAACTTACAAGAGAAAGCCTGATCGTTGCTAACAGGTACACACATTACGGCTGCGAAATCACAACCGCAAAATGACTTAAACAATATGCAAAATACACGCGTAAGTATCCCAAATGTATCTAATAGGTTAAGAGAGAATGAAACATTAGCTAGATTCGCAGTAACATAGTTAAGTTAAGTTAAGAACCATTAAAGACTGGGCTCTTGTTTTGTTTACGGACGAGTTCAGATTTAGTCTTTTTGATCCTGATCAACGTATATCAATTTACAGAAGGATGGTGAACGATATTCGATATTAATATGTGACTGTGAACTCCAATTTTTGTGAAGGGGTTGTTAAGGTACCGAAATGCATTTCCTTAAATCACCGCACAGAATTAGCTGCAGTGAATGAAGGAGCACCGACTGCTGGTGCTGGAGCGTATATTGTATCATTCGAGCCATATATTGGAGAAGGGTTCATCTTAATACATGATAATGCAGGAGAAAGAATTGTATCTGAATGCATAAAAGAGGTTCGATTAGAAGTTTTATATTGGCTGCAACCATCTACTATGGAAGTTAAACATGGAAAATGTTGCTCCAAGGAATATTCTAGAACTCGAATATGCTATATATTTGCTTATCAACCTTCAGAAATTTATAGAACGGTTGAAAAATTATTAAATTGGCAGAAACCATTTAATATTTATAAAATCCTAAAACAAAGAAATTGTTAAGACTGAAAAAAAGTATTATGCGACACTTTTTGCGCGGCAGGGTATTTAGTAAAAAAATTAGATCGTTCAATCGTCATATTTTTTATATAGCGGATCGTTTTTTCCTATCATGATAATCCTTCAGAAAGTACCTTACATACTGACTGATAATTTAAATCTACTTAGCAAAGTATTGACCGCCATTGAGGGACACGCTGTATAACATGTCAGTGTCAAACTACCAGATTCAGAATTTAAAAAATGAATAATTAAAATTTTTCTTAACTACTTGTTTTATAGCAAAATTGGGGCGTGGCAGAAAAATATTGCGATTCTCTTTTTTGATTATAACTCGACGCTGAGAAAAATATATAAAATATTATCGTCTTTCTATTGGCAGTTCCTTCTTTCAGGAATACTTCGTTTTCATTTGGATCCAAAGAGTTTTTCCATTAATCACTGGTCCCCAAGCTAATTCCAACTTGCTAAAAGTATTATATTAACACCTTTTCATGTCCAACTTCTTTTCGTCCACCAATGAAGCTACGATCAGCGTCAGATATTGATGAAAAAACCGTCAGTTTGATTGACTTTTCAATCAGCGCCCATATCAGAAAATTATTCTTATTATTCCAAGTACCATGTCGCCTTCTTCTTTCGAGAAAGTTTCAGATTTAAAACAACACGACTTATCGTCTTATATATCGCAGCTTAATAAAGTAGAAGAATAGATGAAACAACCTATTGCAAATTGCACATAACTAAATGTTGTGCACATAAAATATTCGTAAGAGTTACTGACAGAAAATCACTACCTAAAATACTATTTTATGCAACAAATGTGTCAAGCGAGTGACACAAAAAGTTTAACAAATATGTTGCATATTATATTTTTTCCACGACCATTAGTTTTTGGGTACGTTTTTGCAAAACAACAAGAATACACTGACATGACCGTCAGAATGGAGAAACATCTAACTTCGTTGACTGATTTACATTTGAAATTTTAAAGTCCCATTCCCACCCTGTATTTTGATTTTATTACAGTGACAGATTGATGAAGTTGACTAAGTATATACTCACTACATTTTCTTGTTTTTTGCTTAGTAGTCCTAATGTTAATGTCCACGAGAAAAGGCAAATCAATAAAACACGTATCTTGGTAGTTATGGGACATTAGTCCCTTAAATATTGATGATTTGGAACCGCTTATGTACCTGTATAGGCCACCTCCACCGAACATAAATACGCAATGTATTTTCTTCATTTCTCTGACAAAAATACTGCGTTAATAAAACATGTACCTTGGTTATTGACGGATATTAGCTTATTGATAATTTGGGGCCGTCAATTCCCAATTTTAAATTAAGGTAACATTTTTATTTTAAATTTCAAAAACTTTGCACACCGCCATAGAACAATATTTTCAATTTAGCACGACAAAGAAGGAGAACTGGCTTGCTACAATGTAGCTCTATAATTTCGTCTGCACGGTTTATTCCACCATTCAGTGAAAATCACCAATTATGAACCCAGTGGAGCGAATTAGTTACGAAAATCGAGCCGTAAACTGAAGAACGAGGAATATTCTACTATTTTAACCAAATTGTTTACTACGGCTCTTTCAAAATTGCCCTCCCTTTTCCGTAATATCACAATTTCGAACAAAGTTCGATTAAATGCAGATGTATAATTGTATCCACAGTTTCATTATAAATTTATTTCAAATTTGCAATATA